GTGTGTGTGTGTGTGTGTGTGTGTATTTATCTGTGTACTTATGCTATGAATATTATCGGAAAGGTTGCCATGGGTTACATTGGTAAGCAAACACCCAATTGATGCTCACTTAACCTTTTAACTAACAAAATAATTTTGGTTTTTTTTTTTTGTGCTTCATAAAAAAAATGTATTTTGAGAAATTTTTTGCTTTTCCATAATGTTATTTGGTAATAATACCGCGATATCTCGGTGAAATAGTATTTGTGTTTTGAGATTATGCTGACAGTTGTATTTAAAAAAAAAAAACAATTAGCATGCTAATTTTATTTTAAAGAAAAAAGAAGAACAAATTGATGTAGTTTTAAGAATATTTGCTGTATATCGAGATCAAACATTCGTTGCATAATTATAATTTAAACAAAAAGAAAACTGAAGACAGGGAGGAATTCTAGCTTAGATAAAGTTAGAACTTAAAAAAAAGAGGTATTACATGTCGAAAAGCTTATATTGTTATTATTACTATTCATTATATTCAATGATAATAAAAATGAAAGCTTTTATTTAGCCTACTTTGATAAAACCTTTAATCAATATGAAATACTGTCAATTTCAGTGAAAATTAATAATTGTCATTTTTGATCAACATCTAAAAACAAAATAAATAATTTATTGCTGGATTTAATTCTTCTGACATATTTTAAATTCTGGTTTAATTCTTTTGACTATATAGTAGCCAGTGGTCATTTCAATCAGTTATCAATTTATCTCATAGAAATATAATTTCAAAATTATATTTGGGTTCAAACTAACGAAAACTAAATGAATAACACACAAAAAAAAAAGATAAAGCTAAATCTAATCAAAAAGCATTCATACATAGAGCCTGCCTACCATATTGATTATACCATTACAGTACACATATGTGGTATGACTAATAGAAGCATATGCAAACTGTTGTCAAAATGACATCTACCGTAAGATGGTCCCATTAAAACGCCTATTTGGTTCTAGAATTAAAAATATCTGAATAAAGTTTGTTCACCGTATTCATAATACTATTACAGTATGCATGTGCAATATGACTAACTGTTGAAAGTATGCATACTGTTGTCCATATGGTGCCTACTGTAGGATAGTTAATCAATCAAGAGTGCTCAAATATTTCGCGTGGTGGATAATTTTTGTATTATTTATGATATGAAATTATTGAATTTAAAAAAAAAAATGTGCAGATCATTTATTTTAATCATTTAATTTTGCGAGATTCTGAATTTTTCTAAAATTGCACAGCAAATTGTACAGCAAAAAAATTCCTAACTTTTTTTGACACTTACCTTTGTGTCACATTGATAAAATTTTTATTTCATCTTAAAATCAGTTGAAATTTACTCTTTTCTTTTTCAATCACCTAAAATAAATAGTCATTTCCAGTTTAAAGTTACGGACATATAATTTGGTTTATTGATTGGCTTCATCATTCCTTATAATCCTAACGATAGGTTTATATATTTGATCAGCAGCATGAATTCCCCAAATAAAATCGAAATGATTGAAATTTTGCAATTCATTGCTTTGTATCAAATATTTGCTCGGTATTTTGGCTATCAAACCATCCTGAAAAGTAACCAATTAAAAGTTGAAAATTTATTTAAATAGAAACAAAGAAAGATCATGTGATGTTAAATGAAAGATGTAATGCAATAAGTGAATCTTTGATATGTAACAGAAGGTCAAAGGTTGCACACCTCAATATCACGTTTATCAGCTAACCAGTCTTGCTCACTCCAATACAAATAAACAGGTGCATTGATCAATGATAAGTTATAAAGAGGTGGCGTTTTCTGCAAAACATCAGAGTATCCTTTAGATTTTGAATCATTTTAACAAATATTAATTTTTTTTTTCTAAAGAAAAGGCTAAAACTCTAGTTGTAAATTAGCATTAGCAGGAAATAATTATATTAATTAAATAAGTGATTAAAAACACAATAATTAAAAATCGGAAATTATAATAAATGTTACAGAAAAAACACTTTGCCAAAAAAATCTATTCTTGGAAAAAAAAGTGTTCTTGGAAATCCACAGAAAAAAATGTAACTTTAAAAAATAAAAACAAGGCAATTTCTAAAAAAAAGTTTTTTTAAACAATTAATGCATAATTTTGCAGAAAAATGGAAATGCAAGAGAATTTTTAAAAAAAGATTAATAAAATAAACAAATAAATGAAATTTTTGTCTTCAACAACTACATAAACAAACCATTTTGTAATGTTTCATATTTTTATTTTCTGAACCATAATCATACATTTGTGTCTTATGACTATTTACCATTTGCGCCCAGTGGAGAACATTTGCCATGGAAGTACCAGCTGGTAGATGACTCATATATACCGGAATACGACTCTAAACTAATAAATGGAAAGAAGAAAATTGCTTAAATTAAGAATTGTAAAAAATTTTAAAAGAAAATAATGCAAACAGATAAACAGAACTGTCAACAAAAAAAAAAAAACAAGAAAAAGGAAAAATTAATTAAATAATTTTAAAAAGTGTACGATTAAATTACCACATTCATTTGGATAGTAGCAGGTCCGGTCATTTGAAACATCAAATTTTCACAATGCTCAACAATACTTCTCAATGAACAGGTTGATTTACTGATCTTTTGAAATATTGATTCATTGGGCATAAATTTACCGGTAATTTTAACCAATATCTATAAAAGTAATACTTCTTTCTCACAAATTTTAATTCATTAAATACTTTTGCAAATTTTTGCATAAATCAGAACTGTTATTGGTATGAAGAAATGATTAGTGATTAGTGCTTAACAATAAACTGTAATTGATATGTATTATTATTCCCAATTAATCAAATTATGTTACTGAATTCTGTTGAAATGATATTATATAGGAAGAGAAGATGTAGATAAATGTATCAAAAGTTTCAAATTCGAAACTTTAAAAAAAAACACAACAAAATTCCAAGTAAGATTAAAAGGAGTAATTAAATTACAAATTAAACTAACAAGAATGTTAACGGAAGTAATAATTTTCGTAATGATTGATTACCAGATTACTACCTGGTAATGCTAAAGTAATTGGGAAATTCAAATTTCCTTAATCACTAAACAAAACTAAATTGTCTAAAGAACTTTACAGTTTGATTACTTTTCAACTTTTTTTAAATCAATCAAGCTGAATTAAATTGTTCAATTTTATTTGTTGATTTTCAACTTTCTAAAATAATTTTGAAGTAATTATGGATAAAATAAAATATCCTGAGCAATGGAAAAAGTTTACTTTAAGTGGTTGAAGAAAATTTTTCGCAGCAGTCTCGACCAAACCTTTAATATGAGCCAATGTACCAATTGGTCCAAGAGCAAAAAATTTACGAATCTGAAAACTTCGCCCAACTAACTGATAAATGTACACAAAGATTCAGTTAAAAATTGAAAGCTTGTTTTCTTTTTCGAAATTTAACTCTTTAAAATTTCGGGATTTTATGTTAAATTTTTTGAAAAGAAAAGCTTGACTTACTTTCGCAGCAAAAAGTTGATCGATTGAAAGTTTTGCGAACATTGTTAGAGTACCTTCGGAATATCCCACATAATATAAGGAATGCTGACGAGTTTTGTTGAGTACATAATTAATCATCGAATCCAAATCATATTTAGCGAATTCATCAAATCTAAATAATACCATGGTTAATGATTTAAACTTTGTAATAAAAAGATGAGACAGAAAATTAACATAAACGAAAAGTTAATTTAGGGAGAAAAAGTATAAAAATAAACTGACGTAAATTTCCAATATTTTAAATCATTTTGAGTGTAGTTGATATGTTTGGTAGAGTAAGTATTACCACGAACATTACCCATCCATACATCAAATCCCGCATCAGCAAATATAAATGCTAAATATGAAAAATTGCAAATTAAATGAGTGAATTTAAATTTCAAAAGTTTGAATTACCTAAAATTGCAACCGAAAGCGCTTTTCCTCACCAGAAAAATAAAATAAAAAATTAAAAAAACTTTGAACTATTAAGAAACAAAGGGAAGGGAGAGTTTGTTTAATGAATTTGGTTACAGGTTTTTCAAACTATATGTTACCAACCGGCAGATTGATTCGGTAAATTAGTCACCCAGACGGCACTTGAACCGATAAACCATGTTGTAGAAATACTACAGATTTGATTCATTTCCAGAATGATTTGCTGAAAGGAATAAGCAATTACATATCTTTAATAAAAATCAAGTTTCACATGACCTCATTACCATCTTTATTCATGGTGTAACATAGTACGGTGTGGTATAGTATGAACCATACGGTATGGTGTAGTATGAATTGATCACACCGTATGATAATAATACCGCACATTATATACCATTTTCTTCCTAAGCATCATACATAATTGATACAATACTGACATTGAGCATTACCATTGAATACGCTGAAAATTCTAATAATCCCGAATTACCTATCTTGGCACCTGGGATACGGTGTAACTCGAGTATATAACCATCATCTGTTGTCACAGTATGTATTTCAGATGGATACCCATGGTGACTGACAATTTCATGCTGAAAACAAAAAAAAAAGAAAAATGTTTTGGCAATAATTTACATAATTGTCTAAATTTTCGATTAGTGTTTGGAAATAAAATTCAAAGGTCAAAATTTTGCAATCATAAAAAAAAACTTTCAAATTAATTTTAGTTATTAAACTTTTTGTCCTTTTTGTTAAACTTACAGTGGTCATCGAAGCTTCTGGAAGTGTTTTAATTGAAATTTCATTTGTTATCTGATACAACTTAGTGTAAACAAGAAATTTGAAAATAACAGTGATAAACATCGACCAGCTGATAGCAATAATTATCAATACTTCTAACAAACGATCAATTGAATGCTATATTTTGCATTGCTGTAAACAGTTGTTTAATAATGATTTGTAGCTAATTTAACATTTGATTAATTACTGCTAATTAATACGATTCGCTCAATTATATTTTGCTTAAATATTTTCATTTCACTTACTTAATATTACTAATTTTTCTTTAGTAAACTAACGAAATATAATAATAAATAAAAATAGAAGATTTTATTGAAAATGAGGAGGAAAAAGAAACAAATTGGATGATCATGTAGAAATCACAAAAGAATGTGAATTTTGAGGAGAAGAAGAGAAAAGGACTGTTAAAATAGGGGGTGGAATTCATTTTCATTGTAAAGATTCGATTGTATGCGTATCTGTCCCTTTTGTACATGTAACTCTT